GCCCTCCATCCTTGAAGGAATTTATCCGAACTATGACGAACATTCGCTGAATAAACAGTGATACTCGTTCGAACGATACCAATTGTTTACATTTATGTACATATAATTTCCTACAAATAGTTTTTTTCAATATATTATCCATTTTCCATACTACGCGCCTTGTACTTTCAAGAAACAATCTATTGGGATGCTTGGGGGGTGGAGGGAAATGGGGCTAAAAAGGATTAGGATAAGGCGTCATGCTGCCCGATTTTTTTCCAAGACGGGGGCAAACGGGTTGAAATCCCCGTCAGGAACTCCGTCCTAGGTGGGGGTACAGCCCCGTTTAGCCCCCGCCCTAAGTGGGGCTAAACGGGGATTGTGCTGGCAGGAACAGTAAGTAGACAACAGTGATTTATATGATGTGCACGTTTGGCTTTGAAACACATGCATGATTTGATGACATCTATGAGTATAAAGGGTTTTCAAAGGCGCTGCCAATCTTCCTTATATCAACTGAATTATACTGAATAAAAGCAGATTTTCTCTCTCACAGTTTTTGAAAGTGTGAAATCGCGGAACTCTGCTCCATTTTCGTCGTATTGATTTTTTTCACAGCTTATACCTAATTTCACCTTATTTCATTTTGTAACGATTGATAACTATTTTTCTTAAAGGACAATTATGCGACTATACTATGCCTACCATATTACTGACCATTGCTGTTTATCTGATCGTGGTCCTGGAGTGCAAAAGTGTTTACTGTCATTTTTTCACTCCAATACTATGCTTAATTTGGTAGGATTTCTTGCGTACTAAAATATTTAAAAAAGTATATAAATTTATATTTATACACGGCATATGTTATTTTTATGCGCTTTGTGCTTTGGCGCGCGATCAGAACTCTTCGTTTGTAAAACCACGAGGCCGAAAGTTTTTGAATGAAGCACAATTTATGCAAGGATCTGGTACGGCGTTAGTGTAGGTACGTGTGAGAAAAAGCGTCAGGTATCTTCTTCTACTGCCCGCTATAGCTTTACCTTCTTACAACTGCGGTTCCTCTCACGTCCTTCCGCACTGAAGGTAGCTTTTTCCAGTCTTCAATCATCCGATGAGAAAATAAGTTAGCCCGCAC